GACGACAAGAGTGAAGGTGCTCCCAAGTCTAATAAGAGGAAGGACCGAAACTCGCCAGATCCAACAGAAAGGCGAGTGGCAAAGAAGAAGGACCTGAAGTCAAGTCCTCCGAAAGACGTGACGAAGCAGAACGTCGAAAATAAAGACGCAGCTGCCTGGCAAAACGTCCAATCAAGGAAGGAGAAGAGGAGACTAGCCGAAGAGCAGCTCCTAAAGCAGACTTCGAAGGAGCCCAGGCCGGAGCGTAACGGGAAAAACCCCGCAAATGGATCAGACCCGACGCACTGATCATTCGCCCTGCCGAGAAGGAGAAATACGCCGAGATTCTGCGTCGAATCAAGCAGTCCGTCCCTGATGAACAGGTCCGTACGACTGTGGAAAAAATCCACAAGACCAATACCGGGGACATGCTGATCACACTTTCAAGAAAGAGTGCTGATAGAGGCGAAGCCCTACAAAACATCATCGCGGACATCCTTAAAGAGGAAGCCAAAGTGATATGCAAAGGGCCACAGGAGACTATCGAGATCCGAGACGTCAATGACGACACGACGAAGGCAGACATTTAAACTGCACTGAAAAAAGAAGCCGGAGAAACCTGTGAAATACCTCTGGAGTCGATCAAGATCCGTAAAGCCTACAGAGGTACTCAGACTGCTACAGTGATTCTACCAGCGACAACTGCACAGAAGTTACTAGAAGGAAACAGCAAAGTGAGAATTGGTTGGGCCAACTGTCGAATAAGAGCAACGAAGAGACCTGTCCAATGCTTCCAATGCTGGCACTTTGGGCACTTTGGATCCCAATGTGAAAGCCAAGTAGACCGATCTAAACTCTGCATCAGATGTGGACAAAAAGGGCACCATATCACTGACTGTAAAAATTCTGCCAAGTGTGCAATATGTGCTGAGCAGCAAGGAGCAAAGGACGTGGCTCACCATGCCGGCACCTACAGATGCCCGGTGTTTCAGGAGGCGCTCCAGAAGTTGACAAACAAACAACCATGAGGATATTGCATCTCAATCTCAACCATTGTGAGGCAGCGCATGACCTGCTCATGCAATCCGTGCGAGAATTAGAGCTGGACTTGGTACTGATAGCAGAGCCATATAAACACCTGAGTACCCAACTCTGGGAATCTGATAGCACATCCAAAGCTGTCATCTGGTCATGTGGCAAGCTTCCTTTCCAAAATGCAGTCGACAACAGCAATGCCGGCTTTGTAGCAGTATCAGTAGAAGGCATCCACTTCTATAGCTGCTACGCACCACCTAGCCTCTCCATTGTTGACTTCACTGATTTTCTGGATCGACTAACCGAAGATGCGAAGCAATACCATCCATCAGCGATAGCCAGAGACTTCAACTCCTGGGCAAATAACTGGGGCAGGAAACATACAAACGCACGAGGGAAAGCACTACTGGAGGCCTTTACTACACTAGATGTAGTTTTGCTCAACAGTAGTGATACGCCGACCTTTTCATCAAACTAATAACTGATTATGTAGAAAATCTTCCTGAATGCTGTAACAAGATTTATTATTTTTCTGAAGGGCACTTGTTGAACTCCTCAACAGTTCAAAAACTTTAAAAATTTTGTAAATTTATATGATCATGAAGATGATTTTGATATTCCTGCTGAATGGCATTTTTCATCAAACGACACGCAGCAAGATCAAGTTTCTAACTTGCAGTTGGTTAACAAATAACAACACCGATAGAATTTTTTGAATGGGCTTCTAATCCGAATAACTTACCAAATATCATAGTTAAGTTTTTTCCAGAAGAAGATTATAATACAGCATTAAATGATTTAAATGACAGATTTTTGAAATCGAAACCAATTGTAGGATCTAAACAACTACATTGTATAATTCCGGACAAAAATGGTTGTTTGTATGATAAAAAATTTTCTAACTCTAATGAACACAGAATTTGTAAAATATTGAAACGCCAGAGAAAAAATAAAAAAATAATTTTTAACTTTCTGCTAAAAATCTCAGATTTTCAAAAATCGGGAAGTTATTGTTTTCACCCCGTTTTGCAAAAATCGAGTTTTCATCAGATCTCGACGTTTGAAGGTCACAGGAAGCTTCCCCGACTATCCCCGCGAGGTTGTCACTATGTCGTGTGTGTGAGTGTGTGTGTGTGTGTGTGTGTGTGTGTGTGTGTGTGTGTGTGTGTGTGTGTTTTTTTT